TGAACCTGAGGACCAGAGCGGCGCTGTTGGTTCTTTCAGACTCGAGCAATACTCTGACGCATGCATGAACGATCGGTGCAGCCTGCTGCGACGACCACTGTTCTCGTCTCGCCTCATCTCGACGGCGTGAGGAAGGAGGCTAAAGGGAAATCTAGAGGCCAGCAGCAAACGCTGGGATCAAATGATGCTCTCTTTCGGTTCAGTTCATGTGGTGGTGGTGCATGGGCATGTGCCCGACCTGCCGGGGCTTTCTATTTCAGGCTTTCGATCGGGAAACGATCCTGCCTGAAAATTCCTAATCACTCACGCTGGAGCCAGGTCTCCTCGCACAGTGGATGGATGCACCGTCGCCAGCCATGGAAAGTGCCAAGTGCAAAGCATCGACCAACGGATAAGAGCGCAGATCGAGCTCTCCTACCTGCCCTCCTCAGCACCGCCGTTCCTGCTGCAAGTTGCTGCGTGCATCGCCGATACCATACATACATTCCATGTCCATGTGCCACACCGTGGCCCTGAATGCGCGCTGCTGCTGGTAGTTAGACATTGGCATCTGTCGCCAGCCAACTCATGGAACCTCCCGGAGCACAAATTCCCTCCGCTTTCCCTTCTTTCTCCTGCGAGCATCATTGCCCGGAGGAAGATTGGCGCTGACGACAACTGACGAGACGCTTTTGCAGCTCCGTTTTCTTCTTCTTTTTTAAGAAAGAGTTCCGTTTTCTTCGTCAGCCACTTTTCAGTGTATGCCAATGGGCATCTCTCGCACTTTTTGAGTAATTAATCCGGTGATCGCACGATACTCTCTGCCGTATAAACTAGGTACAGAATACGTACTTTCATCCATAGTTAATTGGGTTCTTCAGTGAGTAAGCCGACCGTGTAGTTGTTAGACAAGCTGTTAGGTGTTTGGTTGCAAAAGGAGCCATGTATGGCCCAAACTCGATGCGAACCCTGCCAGCAAAACAAGAATCATTTACGGCACTAGTGTGAGCCTACTATTAGCGGCACGAAGAAGAAACAGTTATGATCGACATCCTATCAATCCACGGCCAGCTCTGGAATGTGGTCGAAAAAAGAACAGTAGAGTCGCGTGGGATGGTTAGCGATTACGGTGTTGTTTGGTAGTACCACCGTGCGTGTTTGCCTCTACAAAGAAATCGCCACTTCACGGTTTTGTCCCAACTGCATGCGACAGTGCGCGCTCAGTAAGTAATTTTCCATGACGCGACCTCGTGAACTGCCATAAGCATTCGAGACGAATCACACGACAAACTGCACGATTAGGTCGGCGTCACATCGCCATTATCGATCTACGCCATCACAGCCTCGAGCCTATGATCGACATGATAAGACAGGCTCCATGTAGGTCGCAATGTACGCTTCCATTTCCATCCCCCACCCCTGCTCTGCTCGCGTGCACTTGCAATTTCAGTCAGCCACCTCTTCCGTCTGAAAACAGAGCGTCGAGAGGCATCCAGACTTTCCCTGCCCGGCCTCATCATGATTATGGCAGAAGAATGAACGACGAAATGACGAGAACATTGGCAATTTCGCATGCAGCTGCAGACCTCGGCCCTTTATACATCGTTATTATACATACGTACATGCTACGAGCGAGAGATCAGATCCAGCAGAAAGAAACCAGGCGTGATGGTGCGCGCGATCGATTGGCATCGGAGAGAGCGATTCCTCGCCGCACATTTCGTTCTCAGGGGAGCGGTGGCCGGCGCCACCGAGGGCCCTCCTGGTGCTGCAGAAAGAAACAAGGCCTGGGTGGACTTTGGTACTGGTACTTTGAGCCAGGGTCCGGCGGCAGGGCAGGTTCAACAGGGGAAATGATGATGATGCAGGTAGCTGCAGGCGTGGGAGCGGCTATTCCTTCGCGTGCCGCTGGATCTCATTGCTGACGGATCATTTCAATTTCCAGGGAAAAGCAAAAGCAAAACCCTACATCGATCCAGTGCTTTCGCTTTTCTCTCTGACGATCAAGGCCACTCCTACATGTATCGATCGGTACACTACGAAGGATCGCGTCTGGAGAGTGCATCTTGGTCAATGCACACCGGCGATTTTAACGCGAAGCAAGGGGGGTGCTGTCTAGTCCGCATTGCTCCGTCGGGCATCGACCAAATGACTAGAGCAGCGGTGGGCTGTGCCGTTTCAGCGAGGGGCTTGTTCAGACTGAACCAACCGATGGCTCAGAGCAAAAGCAGGCATAGATAGCCCACTGTAGGAACAGTTGCTGCCACTTTGGTCCATGGATTGATCCATCCGTCATCCGTGTAGTGCAGGTCACACAAAGGCGCTAGGAGCTAAGCTAACCTCGCACAAAGCTACTAGCCACGACGCGCCCTCTCAGCTCCCGCTAGCTAGCTCCATGACTAGAGCACGAAACGACGGGGAAAGCAGCGGCGTGCGTGAGGTTTTGCTTGCCCCTCGCCTCTCCCTCGTCGTTCCATGATGACATGCGAATCTGTCCGCTTATCTGCAGCGAGGAGTCACCCGCCGCCCGGGTAATTCGGCGCCGGGCGCACGCCATTCCGCCAGTACCGTCCTGCCCTACGGCGTCAAGTGTCAGTGGCTAGCCAAGGAAGGCATCGTCTGAAACGTGTGCCGCCGATCATACCGTGGCTATTGGCGTCAGGAAACTGAGCTTGCAGAAGAATGTAACGCTCGATCTGATCTCTGCTGCAGCTGCTGCCCATTTGATTTCTTCGGATGCGCTGCGCTTTTTGCTTCAGATGCTTGTGCACACCGAACTATTCGCGGAGTGTAAATAAAGCGCGCGTGGATTAGTGGGCGAAACTATGCATCGGCGGGATCGTGAGATCTGCCGCGCAAAGCTTTATTCCGCGGACAATTGTCGGTCCACGGTGCAAGCACAATCTTTTAATCGCGGTGTCAGCAGCTAAGCTAACCTAGGTTACGTACGTTCTTGAGAGAAAAGCCCCTTTGTCAAATCGGGACGTCTGTGATTCTTCAAACTTTTTCTTTTTTTCAGGGAAAGATGATGATTTCTTCGATCTGGCCCGCAGGGCATTTAAGGAAGAGGCTTTTGCGATTAATTAGCCACAGAATGATTGGCGGTGTATCATCGAGCAAAAATTAATGATTGGCGTAGCACTCATACAAGCTGTCTGGTCGAGAAGGACACAGTTTGCTGCACTCTCTGTTGTTCAGATTTCAAACCGGTGAGGTTTGTTTCAGCCGTTCATCGATCTGATCTCCCGGTATTCGTCAATCATCATTCATGGCAGTAGATTCAAGTTCCCATCACTGGATTCGTTGATCTCGACGGCTTGATCGCATTATCCACATTTTGGAACGGAGGTGAAGTGTCGATGCTACTGTCATGAAGTGAATGTGTACTACTTGATACTGAATACTACCTGCTGTTCCCAGTCAAAGAGGTATTAAAAAGGTAACCAAACATAGATTTGAGCAAGTGGAGATTGTGAGGGTAGGTGACTACCGTGATCTGGACATTGCCAAGACCACACACCAGTAATGCAGCATGAACATGTGTACAGTCGTGCTGCAAAACCAACACAGCACATGACAGGATCAAGTGGACAGGCCCTCACTCCTTTTATTTTCCTCTGATCGAGTCTTAGTAACTCTCTGGGCAGGTATACAGTATGTCGTTAGCAGTGTAGGAGCTCCAGTACTTAGTAGCACGGTAAAAATCGAGGACAATGGCTCGGCGTGCTAGGGTAAATAATTTTGTTGTGCGACCATGGATGTATAGTATGGTTAAGGAACCTTCGGGTTCAGAAGAGTACATGCATGGCCGACACCGAGGTGATATCATATTGTAGCATTTCCTCGATCAAACTGCACGCGCATGGTTCCAAAAACACCGGGTGATATCATGCAATAGTTTAACAACAGCATCATTTGACCGGGGATCCGATTAAACAAGGGGCAATGATCAACGTCGCGCCAGCACAATAACGGAGCAAAATGCCAGTACTAGTACGTTGATTGAAGCGACTCTTTGCATGCCGGCGCCACGCCGCAATGTTTGATCGATGAAGAACGATGGCTTCAGAACATGTTCTCTTCAGTTTGGCAGTTATCTGATGAAGCAGTGGAGCCTCACTCCACTGCTTGTTTGCTTGTCTTAAAGTAATGCTACGATCATCACTCGTTTAATTCAGGGATTTCTTGATGGCGCGATCTCGATCCCCTCCGTGGCTTGTGATTAGTCGGCGTGCATTATTGAAGAGCAGTTGGGGAGAGAAAGATGCCTCGAGAAGTGGAGGAAGCCATTGACCTCGATCCGTCGCCTCATGTGCTCTCGTGGTTGGGCTATATAGATAGACAGCTCCGTCCACACCCACTCCGTCCCTCCCATCCCACCGCTCCTTCCTCCTCGCCTTCGACCGCCATTGACACCACCTCCATTTCCACTCCCGTTCTTGATCTTGCAACCCGAATGCGCCTCCATTTTCCCTCTGCTCCAATCCCAGAGTGATCGCTGCTGCTCTTGAGATAGAGCCGGACAGCATTCCCCCTCCGATCCCTTAGCCAAACCTTGAGAAAAACCCGCGAATCATGTAGAGCACACCATCGGTCTTCAGCATCGACCCAGATCCAACCAAAAAACCACAAAAAAAATCAGTCACTTCCCTCCTAGTAGTTCCAAAAGGCTGCAGGGTTGCATATCTAGTAGGCTGGATTCACCCGCACTGAGACCTTAGCACGAAATCTAGAAAAGCCTCCAGATCATGTAAATTTGTCCGCCGTCTTTGCTTGCCACCCAGCCAAAAAACCAACAAAAAAAAGTTGACAGAAACTCCAATCATGCATCGCTAGTCGTAGCCATCAGTCGCCGTCCTGCGATCCTGCTGGAGGTAATCCGTCCATTGCCGTAGCACCATCGCCTTCGCGAAAACCGTCAAATCATGTAGTTAGTGAGCCTCCTATTTCCATTCCACCGCCGCATTCCTCTTGAAAACACCCAAAAAAAGAGAGAGGGAGTTGATTAGCAGAGTGGTGTGATGGAGGCGGCGGCGGCAACTGGGGCGGAGACGCCGAACCTGTCGGCGCCCGCGACGCCGGGGACGCCGGCGCCGCTGTTCGCGGGGCCGCGGGTGGACTCGCTGTCGTACGAGCGCAAGTCGATGCCGCGGTGCAGGTGCCTGCCGGTGGACGCGTGGATGTCGCCCAGCGCCTGCGTCCTGGAGATCCCCGCGCCGGACGTCTCGCTCCCCCGCAAGGTACGCCGGACGTCGCGCCCGCGGCCATGCACGTGCGCACATTGTCACGCTATATTCGGTCTCTCTCTGCAATATTTTGTTTTACTCGATCTTCTGTTGGTCACCCCATGGATGAGTATATATTGCTGTTCTTGTGAGCGTCTTTTTTTTACGAGTTCCGTATCTGGAAATGGATTTCTCTTCTTTCCCGAAACTGTGCCGGAGACATTTTCCGTATGTAATAGTATCTGGCTGTGTACGGGACGGTACAATGTTATGCATGCACACAGCCAGTTTCACAACGTATGGCCAGAGTCTACGACGCAGCCAGCCATGACTCGCGTGCGCAGGTCAGGTGCACAAATTTTGGGCCTGCCACTGCGGGCGCGTAATCGAGAGATATGCTTGTGAACTCTGTGACGCCATACCATTCATCTGTTATTTTCTGTCTGTACATAATTTTTTTTAATGACAATTACCGTAGAACGGTTTCGGGGTAAAAAAAAACGCCATACCATTCAGCGTTCAGTCCCTAACCCCAAAGACATCATGTGTTAAAAAAAGGTTTTTTTTTGAGAAATAAAAAAAAGGTTTGAAGTAATAATGTTCCCTAACAACCCGGATAGCCACTCCTCTAGTGAGCTCGAGGCAAAATAATTTGCGGAGATCTTAAAATTTCAGGAGTGCGTCACTTGTACAAATAGCAAAGTACAAATTGGATTTGAAGTAAACCAGTTCAATGTATTCTAACGTCTAAAAAATTAAGCTGAGTGGCTGGAAATTATGCCTTCTTTGAAAATTTAGATCTTTTAATATCACCATGCTCCTTTTTTTTAAAGGAAAGTATGGGAACATGCTTTTATATCAATTTCGTTCTAAGAGTATTAAACTACAGGGGAAACTCTTCGCAAAATATTTTGCTATAAGATATTGTGGTTGTAGTATTTTTCTTTTGAGGTCATGAAAATTGTGCTAACTTCACAATTTTTTGGTAAAAAGAACAAATAGGAGAGTTCCAATTTGATAAGTGGCATTATACTTTGGAGAAGTATTTATATACTCTCTCCATTACTTTTTATAAGGTGGTTTTTTTAAGAAACTGTTTTCTTTACGAAGTTCATAAAAAAAGTATTAACACCTATGAAATCGAGTCGGTATTATTAGATCCATCAGGAAATTTATTTTCATATTTTATTTATTTACTATTGCAGTCATTGACAGATTCCCTGCAAATGTAGTCAAACACACACAAAAATGGATTATGACAAAGTAACCTTACAAAAAGGGATGGAAGGGGTACCCAACCTGTACAATGCAATGAGTTTGCTAGCTCTATACAAACCTTTGAAGTTGGCTACTTGACCAAGCCACAAATGGCTTCTGTCTTTTTTAGTGGACTTGATATTTCTCTGCTGGGGCAAATCAAACATACATGGGCCTAACATGGACATTCGGGCATTGGGGTTTTGTTCGGGAACTAGGCTGTTCTTGTACTGTATGGGCTGATTCCCAGATGATGGGTGGATAGGTATTCCTGTAAACATTATTGAGCAATAAAGAGTAAGCGTGTTTTAGCATTAAAAAATACTAATGTTAGTTGAGCCACACTTCTTTTTCATCAACATGCACGCACTAGATGAAAATATACCTCTGCCCCTAAAAAACGGAAATGATAAATCCCGAATGTTCGGAATTTGACCATGACAAATAGAACATTTTCAATGACAATTTTAGTAACCCGAGGATGTTTAAGTTTAGTTGTCACGCACAACAACTTTCTGAAAAACATTACACTACACACAGATTTGCAATGCAATGACACCGTTGATAAGACGATGTGATCTTTGCTTGGAGTTGAAGTACAATTATTTCTCGGGTAAGGTTCCTGCTCCTGGACGTGACATGAGAGGACAAAATGTCCAAAACTCATAGTTGACTCAATACATCGTCTCAGCCTTTGCCACCCGTGAGCGACGAGAACGAAACTACTTCACAAACGATACCGCTGACGATTCACGCACAATATGTTTAATCGAGTGGCTGTGTTGCACCTAGTTTTTTCCATGGATGGTCTGATTTGCACTATCGTCCATGTTTCGTGCAACATGTATCGTCTGCATAGCAGCACTCCGACGAGAATGGTTGTTTCCCTTTGGACGTCTCGATCACCTGTGACATGTCCGATCTGACTCTGTCTGCGACTCTGCGTAAAATTATTGGAGAATGATGGTTTACGAAAAACTAGGGAGCATACATAAAATAAAATCCAACGGGGTATCGGCATGTGATGGCAAATACAATTTGTCATTTCAACTTTTATTTAGTGCTTGATGATCAAGACCGCTGAATTCGAACGCAACTTCACAGTTGACAGTCGAACAGACGGATAAAAAATAATAGGAAATGGTACTAGTGCTAGGAAAAAAAAATCTTATACGGGCTGGACTTTGTTTGTTCTTTGCCATGACCCACGAGTCCTTGAAATCTGACCCGCGAATTTACAATGGTGCAGCTTGGCGCGGAGTTCGTGGGCACGTTCATCCTCATCTTCTTCGCGACGGCGGCGCCGATCGTGAACCAGAAGTACGGCGGCGTGATCTCGCCGTTCGGGAACGCGGCGTGCGCGGGCCTGGCGGTGACGACCATCATCCTGTCGACGGGCCACATCTCCGGCGCGCACCTGAACCCGTCCCTGACCATCGCCTTCGCGGCGTTCCGCCACTTCCCCTGGCTCCAGGTCCCCGCCTACGTGACGGCCCAGGTGCTGGGTTCCATCTGCGCCGGGTTCGCGCTCAAGGGCGTCTTCCACCCGTTCCTCTCCGGCGGGGTCACCGTCCCCGACGTCTCCATCTCCACCGCCCAGGCCCTTTTCACCGAGTTCATCATCACCTTCAACCTCCTCTTCGTCGTCACCGCGGTCGCCACCGACACCCGCGCAGTACGTCGCTAGCTCACCATGACTGAACCCCTCGTCGCCGAGTGCTCGGTCTGCTTCTGCACGGTTCAGGTGTGATGTGATTCTCTTTCCCGTCGTTGCGTGCAGGTGGGCGAGCTCGCCGGGATCGCGGTGGGAGCCGCCGTCACGCTCAACATCCTCGTGGCCGGGTAAGTTTATGCAACGTAGCATGCATGCATGTGAATCTCCAGGGATATCGCGTGGCCTCTGATGATGACTGAGCGTGCGTGTGTGGCAGGCCGACGACGGGAGGGTCGATGAACCCGGTGAGGACGCTGGGGCCGGCGGTAGCGGCGGGGAACTACAGGCAGCTGTGGATATACCTGGTGGCGCCGACGCTGGGTGCGGTGTGCGGCGCCGGCGTGTACAAGCTGGTCAAGCTCAGGGACGTGAACGGCGAGACGCCGCGCCCGCAGCGCAGCTTCCGGCGCTGACGCGATGTGCACGCAGACTCCGGCCCGTGCATGCACGGTTGGTTGCTGATCTATGGCACTGTCGATCGGGCAGCAACAGCCGGGTGCGTACGGACGCCGGTAGCATCTACTCCTACGTACGATTTCCATGTTCCAGACTTCCAGTGCCACGGATTGTGTCCCGTGATTGATTGTAATAAATGAATTAACGCCGTTCTGCACTTCTGCTACGTCCAGAACGGCGTGGACTTGTGCTTTATTTACTCCTATATATATGTGCGCCCGGGCGTGTCAGAATAAACATTACGCCCATGCGCCGGCTGACGGCCGGGCATCTGGCTGTCTGAATGTACTACCGTCTATTTCTACAAAAAGTTGTATACGTCCGCATTTCCTTCTTTTAGGCTATCCCGTCTGCATTTCCTCTTTCAAAAAAAAAAGTGTGCCCCGGCTATTCCTTTGATCTCTATGATTTTGGTCAAATTACTCTTTGTTCCGTGCTCCACGGACTCCACGCGCGAAGGGTAATTCCTATTTGGCTGTTCAGGAACACATTAGAGCAACTTCAACGGATTGACCTAAACGGACGTCGCATTTGTCTGTTTGGATTGGCAGTGCGTCTAGTTTTGCATTTGGGTCGACAGTACGCCCAACGCGCCGACCCATTTCATGCCCGCATTAAACTTTTAAATAAAAAGGGCCCGCGGCCGATTATGTCAGCGGCCATGTCTCATGCCGGCATCATGCCAGCGCCGGCATACAATGCCGGCTTGAGAAAATATCACCACAGTTTATGCTGGCGCACTCGCCAGCCGGTCGGCACACATGCCAGCACATAAAAAAGGGTGGGACTTGAGTTCGACCACGCCATCGCGACTCCCGTGGTCATGCCGGCATACAAAAAAGATGGCCGTCGCTGCCATAGATCACTCGTCGTCGAACTTGAGCATGTCGGCCTGCATCTTCTCAAACCACGGCCTCTTCCTTGGCGACGCGGTGTTGAGATCCACCTTCATGATCTCCACCCCGGTCATCATGCTCACAAGAGCCACTTCTTTCGCCTTGGTCTTGGCATTGGCGGCCTCGATCTCTAGCATCTTGGCTTGCTTCTCCGCCTCGAGCTCGAACATCTTGGCTTGCTTCTCGGCGTCAAGATCAAGCCTCCTCCTTTGGATCTTCATGAAAGCATCCATTTGCTCCGCCTTGAAACGCCGACGCTCCTCCTCCCTTGAGTCCTTCTTATTCATCATGCCGTCCACGCTTGCGATCAAGGCGTTGGTGGCCGCATCTCGCTTGTCCTCCTTCTTGGAGTTGGTCTTCCCCCGCAGCCGTGCCGGCTCACCCTCCCCAACATCCTCCACGGCTTTATCCCCCCCCCCACGTGCCTTGAGTGCGGCATATTGCACCTTGAACTTCTCTTCGTCCTTGATGACCCGATAGCAATGGGAGAGGTTGAAGCACTTGCCATTGTGTTGAACCTTGAATGCCTCCAAAGCTTGAAATGCCTACAAAATGTTTCCATGCAAGCATATGGGCAAGTGATAGCAAATGAAGACGTAAAAGCATGATCTTGATGACACAAAAGAGGGTGGCTTGCTTGCTATCATACCATGTCTTGCATGCCGATGCCGCTCACGGGGCGGGCCTTGACGCTCTCAAGGGTGGCGCAAAACTTGTTGCACTCTTGCTGGATCACCCTCCACCGCTTGGAAATGGAGACCCACCCGCACGTGCTCACAAATTGGTAAGGTGGAAACTTCTTGCGCTCATGAAACTCTTGGTGCACATGAGTCCAAAAGGTTGAATGCTTTTGCTCGGCGCCCGTCTTTGGGTCTTGTCCAATGTCTCGCCAACACTTGCAAAGAAGCTTGTCCTCGGCAGCTATGTACGCCTTCGTGCGCTTGCTCTTACGCTTCGGCTTAGGACCGACGGCTTGGTTGGCGAGCTCGTCCTCGAACAAAAGCTCCACTTCGATGTCGCACTCGTCCTCTTCCTCTAGCCCATAGTCGTCTGGGAACTCGTGGTCGAGGGGGAAGCTGTCCAGGTCGATGCCGACCTGATCACGCATGAAGGCCGCCTGATCGGGATCATAGCCAGCGGCCGGCGTGAACACCCCGCGGCCGTCCTGGCTTTGTGTCTCGTCGGGATCGTAGCCAGCGCCCGGTGCACCACCCTCGAAGATGAGGTTTTGCATGTAGTCCTCGTCGACGGCAGACGACATTTCCTCGAACAGGTTACGGGCGTCCGGGAGCCCGTCGGCCGGCGTCTGCCGCACGTGTTTCCTCGTGCCGCCAGATGACGAGCCACCGACCATCGGGTGGCGTTGAGGTCGATGGGCGCGGGCGCGGGCGTGGAAGGCGCGACCATGCTCACGTCGGGTGAGCACTCCCCGGAGAGGTGGGAGGCCTGCGGGTAGACGTGGAAGCCGGGGACCGGGTTGCAAGCCGACGTGCAGGGTGAGTCGGGCAGCACCATCCGAGGAAACGCCGACGAGCCGGTGCTGGCCACGGCGACGGCGGCTTGGACGAGGCTGTGCTGGCTAGGGTTTACCCCTAGCATGTAGAGCGCCTCCCTCGTTGCCGCCGCGACACGGGCGTTGGTGAACTCCTGCTGCGCGGCGGTGATAACCCACAAGTATAGGAGATCGCAATAGTTTTCGAGGGTAGAGTATTCAACCCAAATTTATTGATTCGACACAAGGTGAGCCAAAGAATATTCTCAAGTATTAGCAGCTGAGTTGTCAATTCAACCATACCTGGAAACTTAATATCTGCAGCAAAGTGTTCAGTAGCAAAGTAATACGATAGTAGTGGTAACGGTAGCAAAAGTAATATTTTTGGGTTTTGTAGTGATTGTAACAATAGCAACGGAAAAGTAAATGAGCGAAGAACAATATATGAAAAGCTCGTAGGCATTGGATCGGTGATGGAGAATTATGCCGGATGCGATCGATCATGTAACAGTCATAACATAGGGTGACACAGAACTAGCTCCAATTCATCAATGCTAATGTAGGCATGTATTCCGAATATAGTCATACGTGCTTATGGAAAAGAACTTGCATGACATCTTTTGTCCTACCCTCCCATGGCAGCGGGGTCCTATTGGAAACTAAGGGATATTAAGGCCTCCTTTTAATAGAGTACCGGACCAAAGCATTAACACATAGTGAATACATGAACTCCTCAAACTACGGTCATCACCGGGAGTGGTCCCGATTATTTTCACTTCGGGGTTGCCGGATCATAACACATAGTAGGTGACTATAGACTTGCAAGATAGGATCAAGAACTCATATATATTCATGAAAACATAATAGGTTCAGATCTGAAATCATGGCACTCAGGCCCTACTGACAAGCATTAAGCATAGCAAAGTCATAGCAATATCAATCTCAGAACATAGTGGATACTGGGGATCAAACCCTAACAAAACTAACTCGATTACATGATAAATCGCATCCAACCCATCACCGTCCAGCAAGCCTACGATGGAATTACTCACGCACGGCGGTGAGCATCATGAAATAGGTGCTGGAGGAAGGTTGATGATGATGATGGCGATGGATTCCCCTCTCCGGAGCCCCGAACGGACTCCAGATCAGCCCTCCCGAGAGAGTTTAGGGCTTGGCGGCGGCTCCGTATCATAAAACGCGATGAATCCTTCTCTCTGATTTTTTATCTCCGAACACGGATATATGAAGTTGGAGTTGAGGTCGGTGGAGCCTCAGGGGGCCCACGAGGCAGGGGGCGCGCCCAGGGGGGTAGGCGCGCCCCCACCCTCGTGGACAGGGTGTGTGAAGGAAATATGCCCTAGAGGCAATAATAAAGTTATTATTTATTTCTTTATATCATGATAAATGTTTATTATTCATGCTAGAATTGTATTAACCGGAAACATGATACATGTGTGAATACATAGACAAACATAATGTCACTAGTATGCCTCTACTTGACTAGCTCGTTAATCAAAGATGGTTATGTTTCCTAGGCATAGACAAAGAGTTGTCATTTGATTAACGGGATCACATCATTAGGAGAATGATGTGGTTGACTTGACCCATTCCGTTAGCTTAGCACTTGATCGTTTAGTATGTTGGTATTGCTTTCTTCATGACTTATACAAGTTCCTATGACTATGAGATTATGCAACTCCCGTTTACCGGAGGAACACTTTGTGTGCTACCAAAAGTCACAACGTAACTGGGTGATTATAAAGGTGCTCTACAGGTGTCTCCGAATGTACTTGTTGGGTTGGCGTATTTCGAGATTAGGATTTGTCACTCCGATTGTCGGAGAGGTATCTCTGGGCCCTCTCGGTAATGCACATCACTATAGGCCTTGCAAGCATTGCAACTAATGAGTTAGTTGCAGGATGATGTATTATGGAACGAGTAAAGAGACTTGCCAGTAACGAGATTGAACTAGGTATTGAGATACCGATGATCGAATCTCGGGCAAGTAACATACCGATGACAAAGGGAACAACGTATGTTGTTATGCGGTTTAACCGATAAAGATCTTCGTAGAATATGTGGGAGCCAATATGAGCATCAAGGTTCCGTTATTGGTTATTGACCGGAGACGTGTCTCGGTCATGTCTACATAGTTCTCGAACCTGTAGGGTCCGCACGCTTAAAGTTCGATGACGGTTATATTATGAGTTTATGTGTTTTGATGTACCGAAGGTAGTTCGGAGTCCCGGATGTGATCATGGACATGACGAGGAGTCTCGAAATGGCCGAGCCATAAAGATCGATATATTGGACGACTATGTTCGGACACCAGAATGGTTTCGGGGAGTTTCAGGCATATACCGGAGTACCGGGGGGTTACCGGAACCCCCCGGGGAGACTAATGGGCCTATTGGGCCCTAGTGGAGAAGATGAGGGGCGGCCAAGGGCAGCCACGCGCCCCCTTCCCCCAGTCCGAATTGGACAAGGAGGGGGCGGCGCCCCCCTTTCCTTTCCTCCTCTCTCTCCTTCCCTCTCCTCTCCTACTCCCACATGGAAGGGGGGAGTC